TATTTACTTAGCAGAAATAGAAAGAAGTTCTCACATGCATGTTAAAAGTAGATAGTAGATCGCGTATAGGTAGCAGATATAAAAAGTAATTCTAAACAAAAAAAAAAAAAAAAATCAGTCTGTAAATTTTAAGTGATTTGAAAATTATTACCAAAATTCAAATTTTAATTCCAAATTTAAAAACAAAGCATAAAAATAACAGCTTATATCTTTACATAGTTCCCGGCTAATGTCTAATAAAAATAATAAATTATCAAAATTTCAACTTTTACTAATTAATTGCTCTGTTATAAATTAAATACTATCAATAAAAATTTCTTTCTATAAGGAATGCAAACAAAACTTTTATATAAGTTAGTTTACTTTAAATTAATAAAGCTTTATTTTCAAAGACATAATTCAAAGAGAAACATATTAATTGTGTTTTAAAATCGATTGTTTTGAATAAGGATTAAGCGTCGCTGCAATATTATTATGAGATAATAAAAGCTAAACCCTCTACAAACTCTAAATTAGTATTATATTTTTAATAAAGTGCGTGTTTCGAGTAGCTCTTCTGATCCAACAAAAGAATCACTGCGAATGTTTACGTAAGGCAGTTATTAATTATGCGAAATGACTCGATTGCGAGAGTTTTCCATCAGGAATAAGTAAACTCCGAGATTGTATCAATACATCCGACTTATTTAAGAATCCCCCCCCCCCACTTCTTCATTACCATATATGCAATTGGCTCTTCTTAAGCTTAATATAAATAACAAAGTATCTTAAATCAGTAACAATTACTCCTTTCGATTTATTATAAGCAAATGTTGGCTCATTGATATGTAGGGTTCATTATAAGTAAAATCAGTTAATTAATATTATATTTTTGAATTGATATCGTGTTTTCGATGTTGTATTTTATTTTCCTTAAGCTAAATCCCTAAGTCTATTTATTTGTTGTTTGTTGCTGTCTAATACCAGTTACCAATAGAGACAAGCTTATTTTAAAAAGGCTGAGGACTGCGCTTCTACTTGCTTTCCAGTGATGCCATCTATGGCCAGGAATTCGACATCTGCAGCACACATACGTCACAGCCTGTTTTATAGAAAGGTTTGATTCGCTCATCATCCATCCGCTGATCGTAATTTCGATTTGAAACACGGAGCACAATCAATATCTGATCCAGTACCCGAAGAGATATTGACTTGTTATGGGAATTTAGAGGACTTTGTGGTCCCGACATAAATAGCGTGCACCAGTCACTATTTTGTACATAGGAAGTCCTCCGCCCGCGGGAATCGAATTCAGGACTTTTCGGGCATGGGCACAACGCTAAACAAACCAGACTATCCCGAACATGGCCTATTTATTATTTTTAATGCTTTTGCATAGTTTCGTTTCTCGTGTTGGTGATGACGAAATCTTAAAAACAAAATTCGTAACGCTATTCGACTAGCAAGAGTGCTTAATTCTCAACTGGAGCACCTTACCAATTGACAAGAAGAGTTTCGATCGTTTCCTGTGCGCTTCTTAAGGCTAAATTGAGTGCTCGATAGCAATACAGATTTCAATCGTATCCTGAGTGCTACAAAATTAATATAAAATTAATAGCATCAAATCATCACCGAAACTTTTTTACTGTCAATTGAAAATTTAATCTCTCTTTTCTGCTAGCCAGTGCTCTCAAATACCAGCTGGAGATTCTCCCATATAACAACACAATTTCCTATCGTTACCAGACCTCCACAAATAGAATTTATTGCCATATTATAAACAAAAAAATCTATGTGACAATCCAAATTTTCGCAATTGTTGGATTAACGAAAGTGCCTCAATTTTAACTAGAGCTTTGTGTTGGATGATTGTGCAAATTTCAACCATTTTCTGAATTTTAGACGCAAGAATTATCGTCCTATTATCGCCATAAAATGTCCAAAATTTTTTTATCGTTAATAAAAATTGCAACCACATTTCGACGCACTGGGGCACTAGTGTAATTGGAGTTCTGTGCTAAACAGCGCAATCTTTACTTCTTTTTTCTTATAATTCGCTAACAGAATTTATCGCCATATTTTCAACAAAAAGAATCAACAGTTAGTCTGAATTTTGACCTGTTTTCAATTAGCTAGAATGCTCACATTTAAATTGGAGTTCTATGCTGGATGACTACGCAAGCTTTAATCATTTTCGCAAAGCATACAAGCACAATTTATTTCCAATCTAATTTTAAATTCCACTCTGAAATTAAAAAAACTGGCAAACGCAAAATTAAAATGAAGGAAATATTAAAATTTAAATAAAAAATTAAGAAGTACTTTATACAAATGGGCTAAGAAAGGAAAATATTTCTATTTCTGTCAGAACTAAAACGAAAAACACATGGTGCATCGCTTCATAATAAAACTTTTATCACCACCGGAAATTCCCCCTCAGGTTTATAAAATGATAAACCCTACTTTTTTCAGTTTAGTTCGAACAAAAAAAAGTTTATTTCGTTTTTTTAATGTGTTTAAGAAACATAATTTTTAAAATTTTCTTTTCATTTATTTAATTTTTTTTAAATTTGATTTTATCAACGTCCAGAAAAAACTTATGATATGGAATTTAGGCAATGAACATCAGCCTACATTTACCCTCTGAGACCAACTTAGAAAACCGGGAGACTTTTATATGTGTTAAGCGTTAGAAAATATTAGCTTCCATGGATTGTATTTTTAGAGGATTCGTTTAACATACATAACTACTATAAGGAATAGAAAATAATAAAGAAATTTAAAAATATTTGTTTTGCATGGAATTATCGTTGAATGCATAGGCTTTATAATTAATTGCTAAAATTTTTTAATTGTTTGAAAAGTTCTGGAGATTGGAGAAAGGAGCCCAAACTTTCGACCACTCTCCTTCTTAAACTATTTTGACCCTATTTTTCCAGATTGTGACTACCTCCCCCCTACCAATCCCCCCCCCATGGCCAATAATTTAAATCTGTTCGTGAAAAAGGCATACTTATCCTGAGAAAGTATTTGCATACGTCTGATTCAGTAAATAAATTAAAAATAAACAAACATTAATTACCATAATTTTTGGTCTGCCTTTTACAAAATTAAGATTGGTTTTCAGTATGAGAGATCTGATCATTAGACATAAGTCATTCAAGTTGTTAACCTTTTTTAACATAGTGCAAGTTAAATACACAAGTGGGCGACCTTTGTGCTAAAATACAAACTAAGTTAGACAACGTTAAAGAGCACAAAAATATTATTAAAGGCATGCCTTTAATAATATTTTTGTGCTCTTTAACGTTGTCTAACTTAGTTTGTAGTGCAAGTTATTTTTTATATTTACTAAATTAACACTAATTTAAAGGAAAAAGGATTAGCGTTATTTTCATTATTATTATTATTCATATGCTAGTAATAATGAAATTCGAATATTATTTTAGTTAATTTTTTAATGAAATAAATTATTCAGCAAGTTATTGTAAAATAGGATATAGTTTTAGAAACCTCCAGAGAAAACACTTGTTTTACATTTTTTTTTTTACCCTCTTGTTTCTTGAGTTTTTTGTATTTTTAAAAATTTAGATATAAATCTTAAGAATTTGGTTACTTGGTCAAAAGGATTAAAAATTATATCTCACTCTTCATTTATATCACTTAATTTTATTCATTTGTTCCTTTATTGATATCTGGTCAAGTATGAGCTTATAAAATGATGACCACGAGAGAGAGAAATAAAATTTTCCAAAACTATGGTTAAAAGTCATTAATTTAAAAAAGATAGTGAAAAAATTTTTTGAAAAAAATTAGTTACAAACAAATTAGAATTTTGAAAAAAAGGGAGGAAAAAAAAACATAAATGAAAAGAGTTTTTTCAGAGCGTCAAATTTCAACTCTGTTGTTGCTTCTCAGTGGGCTGTAGATCATCTTATTGAGTATTTTTTTTTACTACAAGTTTAAAAATGAACAATTCTTAAACTAATAACTAAATCTAAATCTTTTTCACGCATTTTTTTAGAAATTTTCTTCTCATTTTGTTACTTTAAGGTTCTAAGTCTCATAGTTTTTGCGCGGCAAAACAAAATGTAAGGCAAATTTAAACTCCCAAAACAGTGGCAACGGTGGTGACGATATTTTAATAAAAGTAAAATTGATTACAAAAGGATTTTAGTGTCTTACGCAAGCGTTGCTTTTTCCCCGTGTCGATAAAAATAAGGAAACAGTAAATCAACTTCCTCTTTAGGTGCTTACTAATATTTTAACGGTCCCTAATCAATAAATTAGAACTATGCGTAAATTTAGTTTACATTCTTTAAAAAATAATTTTTTAATTTTATTTTTTTTTAAGTTGCTTTTTTTCAAATTATTGCAGAATAGTAATAATAATGAAACATTCCTCTGAATATGACATCTGATCAACTAAGCAGGAGTGCAATTAAAATAATTTTATTGAATATGTACGTAATATTTCAACGGCCCCTAATCAATAAATTAGAACTATGCATAAATTTAGTTTAAATTCTTTAAAAAAAAAAATTATTTTTTTAAGTTGCTTTTTTTCACATTATTGCAGAATAATAATAATAAACAAACATTCCTCTGAATTTGACATCTGATCAACAAAGCAATAAGCATTAAATAATGAAAGGGGTGCAATTAAAATAATTTTATTGAATAGCGAAATGAAAATATGCATAGAAAAAGAGTTGAGATTTACATATTTTGAGCAGTAAGTGTAACATAAATGAAACTTAGACAACTTCCAATAACCCGTTTCAACTTCTGTATCCAAGTCATTTAAGAATTCCTTCGCGATTATTACGCAATCGACTTTTACCAGGTCCACGCAAATAACAATTCCACTAAAGCCTCCAAGCACCCCCACTCCCTTCAAAACACGCACGATCAGCTGCCTTTCCCAAAAGCCCCCCTCTCCCTTTTTAACCTTAGCTTTTCCTGTTAGGCACGCGACGCAGGCGCAAGCCTAGTGACGTAGCGGCAGGTGACGTAGTCGAACACCAACCTGCGTTTCGGGCCTTCTTTACTTTCAAGCAGCGCGGGCCACAAAGTCGGTGTTCTTCCTTTCGTCCGCTACATCTTCAGCATCTCTCTCTCTCTTATCGTCTGCTCGTCAAATGGAACGTCTCAGGTAAGTTTCCTCCCCCACTTACTCACTTCCGATTTTTCCCACCCCCCTCCTTCATTACCTGCTCGGGTAGGGGGGGGGTGAAGTAGAGGGTGCATTTTCGTATCGCCAGCCCTATTTAACCCTTTAATGATGTTAGTTGGTAGAAGATATAAAAGATGAGGATTTGTTTTAGATCAGAATAGGATGCGGAAGATGAAAGTGACTTTTGAAGGATGATTTTTTTTCTTTCTTTTCGTCAGAGAATCAAACAAAATAAGTTGGGCATCACACACCAAAGTGTAATTATTATTTTGCCCTCTTTCTTTTATTAGATTAATTCTACTCTGTCGTGGTTGTAAGCCGGCTGGTTTACTCTTACTTTTTTTTTTCTTTCTCTTTTGACTTCGGAGTATAATAGCGCTGTTATTTTCGCACGTGTCCCCCCAAAACAGCCGAGGAGAGCAGTTTTGTTTGTGTGACTCATAGCTATTATGTTGGCAACTAAGAGAATAGAATCGCTGCTAAATTATTTATTATTGTTTTCGTTTTAGAAGTTGGCCACAGTTTCGTATGAGTCTTAAATACTCTTATCTTAATTTTTTTAGTTTCTTCATCTTTTAGGTAATTATAAATTAATGTACCTTTTAGCAATTTTGAAGTAAATATTAGATTTAACATTATTGGTTTCTAAAATGTAACTAATCGTGAACCGTTTTTTAAAGCTTTTAATTTTATTAATTCCTTTATTACTTTTATTGTTCTTTTATATTCTTTTATTTCTAATCATTCAGTTTTTGACACTTTATTTTCAAACATTTATTATCACTTTTTTTTCCTTATAAATGATTTTGAAACCATGATAGAGATATGAATCGAAGAATAAAATAATTTTCTGGGATAATCTTGTCTGAAATATTAAGCAGTAAAACAATTTATTGAAAAGTTTTACAAATTTAAATTTTTAATTAAAATTATGCGAAATTTATTGAACTTTGGTAATTTGCTGTTTGAAAAGTCTTAAGATTTAAAATATTTCAATTGTTTCTAAGAGAAATATGAATTTTTTTTAAATAAATGATTACATTGAAAATTCTCTAGATATTAACTTTTATTTTCATTCCTATGCATTTAACCATCATACATCAAGCCCTGACACAGACATACAAATAATAAAAAAAGGATTGTCTAGAGAAAAAGAAAATGCTGGTTTCATGAAATTTAAATATAACTTTAACACTCCATTTGAAAAAAAACAACTTATTTTACTATAATTTTTAAACTTTAAACAGATTAAAATTTCTTTTGATTTTGAGCTATTTATTATTATTATTACTATCATTGAATTTCATGATTATTTTTTTTAAATAAATTATATTAATCGAAATAAAAAAAAGTTTTACAAGATAAAAAATTATTTATTCTTATTTTTCTTTAATTCGTAAAAAATCGTTATAAGCATCTAAAATATTTTAAATAATATGAATTATTTTTTTAGAAAAGATCAAATTAAATTAAAAATGTATTAAAATACTTATTCTTAAAAGATGTAAAATGAAATTGGTAAAAAAGGATCAAATATATATTTTAGTGTTTGCTGTTAAAAGCAAATGTCATTGAAAAAGTTTCAACACAAAGAAATATATATATATATTTCTTATTTCTACGCAATTCGGAATACGGGAACAATTCTCAGTGTTCCTAAAAAATGGGCATCCTGCAGTTTCACAATCACAAGCATGAAAATTAAATACATTTTTCAGAATAAAAAATTGTGTCTCTTATTCTCGCTCACCAAACAAAGTATTTATGATTATTATTATTTTTTATATGTATATATATCAAAAATTTTTGATTGTACGGATAATCTGGATCATAAAATTTGATTTTTTTTACCTATCTAAATAAATGATTTTTTAATAAATTATTTTAGGCAGTAGGAAAAACTCTGAATAGGATAAATGTGATAATATCGGTAAACAAATATCGAAATTATAAAAGAAGTTATGAAGACTGGTATTAGTGGCCGTTTTCAAAGGAGATTCCTACGTCCTCAACTGCATTTGCTTTTAATTTCACGATATTTTTCTCATAACCCAAGTAAAAAGGCTAGCACAAAACTTTCACCAAAAAAAGAAATAAATAAAAACTCTAAAAATTTTAAGAGTTTAGGAGCAAAATCGCATACTTTTTATTAAGGAAACGTCAAGGCTTCGTAATTGTTTTTCTTTAAAAAAGCTTAAGAAAAATTCCTTTAGATTTCCTTAACAAAAAGCGCGAAATTTTGTGCCAAAACGCTTAAGGATTTTTAGGGATTTCTTAAAAGATTCTGTGCTGAGCGTTTTACTTTAGGAATTTTAAAAATTCTTAAGAATTTTTAAAATAGTTAATCTGAACATTTTGAGAAATAGTTAATATAAACATGAAAAATAGTCAATAGAAGCATCTTGAGTTAATATTTTTGTAATTTCATTAACTATTTTTAAAAATCATTCCCCATAATTTTTGTAATTTGATAGAAATTTTCAAATGCTCATAAGAATTATAATTTTAAACTTTTTAATGAGATACGGTATCAGACACAAAAGTATACCTTATAAGAATATTATACCAGTTTCTCAATTTACCATCAGAATATTAGTAGCCATATGAAAAATATGGTTTAAACAGTTTAGCCAGGAGAGCGTCTGTAAGAGACTCTAAATTTACATTGAGTAATTGTTTATAAAAAATAGTACTATGTTTTATTATAACAAACCAAAGAATCTAGGTAAATCAAAAAAATCCATGCAACCTACATTTTGATGGGTAGACTTGGATGCACAACAGTTACTACTGTGCCCTACACTATGTAGTAACTGTATTTGTGGTAGTTACTGGGAGGCCGCAGATGAGATTAAGATGATGGGTTATCACTCTAACTATATGTTGAGGGTGACTTTTGGGTTTCTTCAAAGTCTCTTAGTTCTGTAATAGTTCATATAATAACAAATGGATGCATGTTTAATTATTTTAGCTACGCATTAGACGAAACATGTTGACTAAGAGCACCATACATGATTGAAATGGAAATCAGAGTGCTCCTTTTCCCGTTTTTCTGAACAATTTCTTTTTCAACGTTTTGTTTTTGTAGTCCTCAATTACGATCAAGACACATTTTGGTTAATGATTAATAAGGCCTAAAGTTTTTAGAAGCATCCATCACGGTTTTTCAATGTATTTTACAAACTTTGAAAAATATAATTTTCCTGCGAAATAAAAAGTGTGCAAAAACGTACGTAGATAAATCTAAGTTGGAAAGAAGCAAGCGTATTTTGATACAATAACAGTGTTGTGCTTCCATATGTAATTGTAGTTGTTAACAGTTACAAACATGATAGTAGTTCAGAAGAATTAGGTTATTGGGAACCATGATTTAACAGAATCCCAAATTTAACAAGGACATTTTCTTAAGTTTCCGGGTTATTTTAAGTTGTTAGAAAAAAGTATCTGATTGTTCCTATATATTTCAGCCCAATCGAAAATATTTAAAAACATTTTATAATTCAGGTACTTCCAAAAATGTATGTAACTAAACAGTGTAGATTTTCAAGCAAACATTAAAGCAGGAAAAAGAAATAAAATAGAAAAAAATTGTGTTTGCGAGGAAGTAACGTCTTCAGGGGACACACTGCCCACAAACACACAGGAACCTTTCTGTTGTCAGGGGAAAAACCAAAACTGACAGTGACCCCGAGGCCCCATAATGGATAGACAAATAAGAAAATCATTTCCAGAAATTTGAAATGCTGTGAAAAATAATGAACCTGCAAACAATACTTAAAAGTACACAAAGTGAAACTTAAAAATGAAACGCCTATTATAAATAAAAATATAAATATAGTTGCAGTTACAGTTAGATTAACCAAATCAAAATAAAATAAAATATAAATTGCCGAATCAATAAGAAAATATTATAAATAAATCAAGCACTGACACCTATTTTAACCACCTGAACAACGAAACTAAAATACTCGATGAGCAAAAAATTCTTCAAGTGCTGCCATCTGCTTTGGAAAAAAACTCCCTAGGCTACTCTTTTAAGCACCATAAGAGTGTGAATCAGTGAGCAAACGTTGCTCCTCCAGTAAGGACAGATAGTACAGGGAATGAAGGAAAATCCATGTCTTATGCGGGATTCAAATCCAGGACCTTTTTGATGTCAGGTCAGCCGCTACACAGACTACCTGACTACTACACAATCAGGTCGGCGCAATACAATAGTTAATACCGAAAAAATACCCCGTTAATCGCGAGTTAATAAATAGAAAACAGATGCATTATAGATAGTAGATTAATCTGCTTGTACTCTCCAACCCAGATTTTTGTGGATTCTATGTCAGATGTACTAATAATTTTAAGCGTTGCATCTATTTTGTATGCGCATAATTCTGATGATGGATTTTTTTCCCCCGAGGTTGAAGACTTTAATAAAATGTTTCCCTAATCTGCGCAGTGCTACTTTTACAACAGGTATCACTAGCGTTAGTGATGATGTACAGTGCACAAAAAATATCTAATTACATAAATAAAAACGTAACACTCTAAAGACCTTTTAATCTAATGATCGGGTTTTCATGCACGAAGACTCAATCCAAATGGTTCGGGAGTTTTACCATAAATATGTAGCAATAAATTTGTGAAGACGGTGATTTAAGTTACGAAATCAGACACAAAAACGCACTTGAAATCGATGCATTTGAAATACTGATTCTCAAAATAGATGACGTAGTCGCAATTTCGGAAATAAGTTTAAATAGTTTGGTTAGGTTAGCGGTAAGGTACATTTTTATGCACAATTATAAAATTTGGTTATCCAAAGAGAATCCTGTTAAATAAAATAAGTTTGAATTATTATTTATAATGTCTTATTATCTATTTAATAATAGTCGAAAAATGTTGAATTATAAGGTATGCAAATTTTTACATCATCTAACGTATTTTTATCTAACGTATATTACCTAACGTTCTAACGTATTTTTATC